TTTTCAAGACTTAATTTCTAAACAGGAGGATGACATGAGTTGTTTTACTTATAACAGCTTAATAATTTCAGCTACAAAGCGTCTTCTTACGATCTATAGTGGTTTTAAATTAGGTCAAATCTGGGCTAAATTACAGGGAATCATAATCAAACCAGATTGTAAAGCCAAGACTTTTTCAGTTTTCATAAAACAGTTTTTACTTTGCTTTTGTACTTCTCTGGCTGCTTGTATCTGATATTCTGTCTCATGTTCATGATGCAATAACAGTCAATATTGACAGTTTTCGCATACAGTATGCCATGTTTGTAAGCCCGCATCATTTACAAAGATCGTACAAAAGGGTTATTTTAAATAGGACTGACACGTGGTGCGGTGTTATTAAAGTATAAGAAAAAATATCTCCGATCGAATGTGACGTGCCAGAGATAATCAGGCGGATTGGTAGAAAACACACAAGTACTTCATTTGGAATACCAAGGTCCAGGACTTTGTTTTCTGTGCTCCTCTTTTGAAGTGTGCCTCTGCGTGAAACAAGCTGTGAATTTCCTTTGAATTTCTTCTTCTTTATTTGGTCTGGAAATATTTTTTTCTTTCCCTAGCATGATGTTTGCGCTCTAATTTTGGAGGCCTCTCTCGGGACGGTCGTTTGTTTTAACAGATGTTGTCTTTGAAGCCCTCGGCGGAGGGCACTTCCTAACACAACTGTCACACAAGACACAGCACATAGCTTGGCCCTAAGACATTCCTACCTGAATACATCAGTGCACATTACATCAGGCACATCAAACAGCGGGCTCTGAGGTCTACACAACTGCGACAGGGAGGAGAAAAGCTTCTTTTGTTCTGTAGTCAAGGAAACTATGGCAGTTTCTGTGCTGCCACTTTCTGGCAGGTTTTTAGGTCTGCTGCGGCCCGTCTGGATGAGGTGGAAGATGTGTTTTTGAGCTAACCCGTGAGGGAGTGAGGTCCCTGCTGAAAATAACATTGTGTGGTTAAAAACTAATTTTTGAGACCAACAACAGTGAGTCAATTTAGCTGTTCCTTTATTCTTTTTAATCTTAGCCTGCTATTAAATTTTAAAATAAAACTGTACCTTTAGCAGAAGCAGTGTTTTTCTTCTTTTAAGAAATAATAAGAAAGATTCAACAAGAGCTCCTTTTTTAATCTTCTGCCTGAAGCTTACTTACACGTGTTTATGTCAGAGGTTCTCACATTTCTTCTTAAAAGTTTGGTGACTGAGTGCCAATTTCAGAGCCAGTAAATGAGTGAGATTCACACAAGATTAGAGCTTATATACTTACCAGCCACTTTATTTTTAGTTTTAAGTGCTTATGAAGGCAAATATTTAATCAGCGAATCACATGGCAGCTTCGTGTTGCATTTAGGCATGTAGACACGGTGGAGACGACCTGCTGAAGTTCAAACTGAGCATCAGAATGGGGAAGACAGGTGATTTAAATGAATGTGGCATGGTTGTTGGTGACAGAGAGAAACTGCTGATCTGGTGGGATTTTCCCACATAACCATCACTAGGGTTTCTAGAGAATCCCTAGTCCTAATAAGAGAAAATATCCAGTGAGCAGCAGTTCTCTGGGTGCAAATGCCTCATTGATGCTGGAGGTCAGCTGATGGGAAGGTGACTGTACTTCAAAAAATTACTTGTTCTGAATACATAACATGTTAATGGGCTACAGCAGCAGAAGACCACAATGCATGCCAGTAAAGAAAAATGGGTCCAACCTGGTACTTGCCGGATGTACCTGGTAAAGTGGCGTTTATGTGACATTTTCAAAGCATAAATGCCTGTTCTGGGCCATACTGGGTAATAGTATTTATGGGTAAGTATTTAGAGTACCTATAAGTATTTATAGTAGTTATGGCATTTGTTGACACAATCAGTATTTGTTAATGTTAGGAAGGCTTTTTTCAGGATAGAACAGAAGTGCTATGATTGAATTGTGGGTGAATGAAATGCAACATAATTGTTCCCTTTCCTTTATTATATTTTTTAGGTACCGGTCCATGTGTTTCTAGACTTTTCCACACTGGAGTGCAGACACCTCAGTGAATCTGTAGAGCTCTTTGTTCTCAACCTCATGGATGCCAACGCAAACTACATTAACAGAGAAGTCAAGGTTAGTTGTGCATCAGTACTTTCAGTGATCGCATCATGACTGGAACATTTTTTTTAAAGTAAATAAATTTTAAAAGAAATGTCACCTGTGATAGAACAGGGCTGAAGTGCTGAAAATTAATTTACACATTAAATCTGCTGATTAAAATTCACAAGCATGAAAAAAGAAGTAGAAATGAGTCAGACCTGTATTTGTCTCCCCCCATAAACTTTTAACCTCACTTTGCTTCTTTGGTTCTGAATGAACAGGTCCAGGCTACATCTACAGGCAGGATAACTGCAATTCCCTTCTGGTATCACATCTACCTGGACGAAGAGATCAATGTGAGCACCCTCGGCCAGGCTGCTCACTGGAAGCAGGCCGCCGTCGTTCTGCAGCAGCCCCTGGAGGTACGAGCAGGAGAGTGGGTCCGCCTCGCCGTGAAGCTTCACAAAAGCACCATCTCCATTTTGGCCCATATAGAAAGCACACCTCAGCAGATGGAGTGATAATCGCTCACATTTTAGCTTATTTGTAATACATTTCAGCCCACCGTTGCATCGGCTGACTGATAACAAAGACAGTATTGGTCTGTCAGATGTATCAGAGTCGTTATACTTGTTGTCTGATGGCCATTTTTGTTGTTGCAGATCATACTGCAGAAAAAGATGCTTGCGGTAAATTGCATGTAGAAATTGTGTCATCATGTTTGCCCAGCAGTTCACAGCCTGCTGTTTACAATACTCTCAGCACTGTCTGCAGAATACTTATGAGAGTATATTTCAAAGAACACTGCTGCTAATATTACATTCCTAGTATTTTTAATGCCCTTTCTCTATTGACATTTTTCATGTAGTACTAGTCTCAAAACATCGGGATCACAGTTTAGCAACTCCCTGCATGAAAAAACTCTTGTTAGAAGTTTAAGTAAAAAGCCTGCTGTATAAGGAAAATAGGTCCACAAGGACTTGTACTTACATTTGTAAGTAGATAATAAAAACATTAGCCCTTAATTACTGACTCAGTTGTTTTTTGTAAACATCATTCACTTGACCCATAAATGTTGCATTTTTATAATAAAAGCAAGAAAAACGAAGTCATATTTTTTTTTGATTTATTGAGGATATCTGAGATGGAATTAAATCAAAATGTAGAACGACGGATCTGATGCAATTGTGTCAGTCATATTTTAAAAGAAAAAGAAATTCCCATAAGGCAGTGCGACATACCAGAGTCAGGCATGATGCCAGTTACCCCTCGCTGTGCCACACACTGATATCCCAAAACTGTACATTAATGATGGCAATATCCCTGAACAAATCTGTGAATTCACAAAGAAGGATCCTTTATGGAAAAACAAATGGCTTTAGTGCAACAGGTGCAAAATTATTTCAGTTTACAAGAGACAGAAAACATCTCACCAAATAAAAATGATCCCAGATTGAAAAATAAAATAAAACACATTCTACATGGATGTGTAAACAGACTAGTTACACAGCACACAGAACAAGGCATCTGCGAAGACTAGCGGATTCTATTAACTGTCGAGTAAGCTGTACGCATTAAAGCATAGATAAGAGCCAACCAGGAGGTGTTGATTGTACTTTTTAAAACTGAATTGTGATTTTAATAATACTAGGATTGTTTAATTGTATATATTCATACTCTTCTGAAATGGAGTATACTACATTTATACTGATACTGTGTGATATTGTCAGTTATGACCCCTTTTCTAGTGATGTACACATCATTGTACCACAGTTAACTGTGGTACAAGATCGTGTTGCTCTTTTCTTCCCTCTGAATCGACTAGTTAGAACGAAACGACAGCAGATATCTGTAGTTATAGTAGTGCAGGTTTTCAGTTTTTCAAAAACCAGTAAAAGCATGATATTCAGTTTAAAAGGTTGCATATTTCCCTCTTCTGTCACATCTGAGATTACGGCATGAATGACACATAAAATTGTATAGTTTCATTTTTGGAAAACATTTCTCCATATTTCACTTATTCTTCGGTGAGAGCCATGTTTTGTCTGATCTTGTGTCTTTCCTGGGTAAAACCAATTCTAGCTTAGCCTACTCTCTAATAAAACATAAAACAGCAAAATGACGTTGCTTACTAGTCTTTTAGTGCCATTAAATCACCAAACATTCTTGAAGCTGTCACTGGAAGCGGTCCATTATGTCTTGCATGTTTTTGTTAGACTTTGACTACTACATGGTCATTGTGCCCTTTTAAATGAGTTTGTCTTGTTTGCATCAATGACGTTTGAAAAAATGTGGCAAGGCTATAATTGGGCCCTGCCCAACCATGTCTGGCAGAGTTTGTTTGCGACACCTAAGCTAGGTGATCACAATGAGATCTGCCTCTGTCGGGTCTTTGGTTTGGTTGGTAGTTTCTTCATCCTGGGTTTCTTCAGGTCTAGCCTCACACCCTTCCTCCCACAGGGCTGAGCCGAGCCCAGCGGGTGCTGACAAAGAGTGCGGTGCGGGGGTTCTGCCCAGGCCCTGATAGTGACCCTTAGGAGAAACTGGATTACAAGCTGCTTCGGTGATGGCATCTTGAGACGCAGAAGAGAGCAGGC